ATTTGTGGAAATCCCCTCACTCTTTCACTTCGATTGGGTCTAAACCTTGCATTCCCTATGCAAAAAATCAATTTCAGTTTCGTATGCAAATTTAGACACAACTGTAACCTTAAACTAACCTGAATCAGACGAAGCTATTTGATTCGGTGAGGAAGACATGATGAAGAGAGCCCCGGATCGATGAAGCTAAACCCTAATTTTTCTGGATCGATAGAGAAGAAAAGAAAAAATGAGCAATCGAACAGTTTTTCTCGTGATTCGAACTCACTGTCAACAAAATTTAAACTCGGGATGGATCGGAGGTTCTGTGATCATGTCGAAGAAGAAGATGGAGGTTCTCGTGATTTGGGGATTTTTGTGGATCGATAAAGAAGAAAACAAAAAACGATCCTTTTGTTTTTTTAAGGGGAAAACATTTTTCTAAACGACGACGTTTACAGGGAAGAAAAGGCAGATTTCATTTTAAACTTTTTATGTTCGTGACAGAGTGGTCACAATTTTGTGACGCATATAGAGTCGTCACAAAGTCGTTATACATTTGTGACTATATTCCCACGATTTAGCAACCCTCGATATGAATTTATAGAAAATGACAAAGTTTGCATATTATAAATTAAAGTAGGAACATTACCTTTACCATTAGGACAATTGAAAATTTAAAATTTTGAAATTTACAAAAATCTCACAATGCTTACACTACTTTGGTSATAAACATCTCACAATGTTTCATGAMCTTTCAATCTTACATTTTCAAATCATTAGGGTTTTGATGAAAATGTACTTTACAAGTTAAAKATCACTCAATAYACTTACCAATAWGATCACARGTATATGAAAAAGAGATTGGGAAGGGATTTGGCACACAAATGAGTTTAAATGTTTAGGGTTTAGGGATTTGAGTTGTGACTACTACAGGAGTGAGAAAATAGTCGCAAAGTTGCGATGCTTGAGCAACTTTATTGTCACGGAATTGTTGTTATGACACTTTTGTGACCCTTTTTATGTCTGGGTTTCGAAACATTTGGGCCATTTGGCGAAATATTTTGGGCTTTTGGGCGCCTAAAATTCTCTCCAAAACTTAAGTTGTGACGCTTTTGCGACGGATTAGCCACGCCTATGTTATACATATTGTCAAACGCCGAAACCTAATTTCATTTTAATCACAAAATCTTTTCAATTCTGTCTCGACTCGACGGCGAAAAAAATCGCCTCACTGTCGTTTTTCTCCATTTCTTCCGATCAAATCGCCTTCTTCTTCTCTTTTCTCTCTCTTTTCCATTCACATCGTCTCATTCTCTGTTAATCGAACCAAATCGGTTCGATTTCTCTTCTTTTTCTCCAAACCCTAAATTCTGTTCTTTATCGCGACTCTTCATTCCTTTCAATCGCGATGTGTAAACACATGGCTGTTAGGAATAAAGGTAAGGCCGCCGAGACCAACGGTGGTGGTGGAAGAGGAGCCATCGGTGCTCCTGGAAGAGGAACCGACGGATCTGGTGGTGGAGGAGAGACATCTGTTGCTCGTCGAAAAGGGAAGGCCGTTGCAATATCCGACGACTCTGGTGGTTCACGGACCATCAGTGGTCATGGAAGAGGAGCCGTCGGTGCTCCTGGAAGAGAAACCGCTGGAAGTGGTGGAGGAGGAACCGCCGTTTCTCATCGAGGAGGAGCAGTCAGTTCTCGTGGAAGAGGAGGCGTCGGTTCTCGTGGAAGAGGAGCCGTCGGTGCTCAGGGAAGAGGAACCGCCGGAGTTCCAAACTCAGGGAGTGTTGGCTCGAAACGCCAAGCCGCTTCACCCGTCGACAGTGGAGGTGGTGATCGCTCCAAACGCAAAGCCATCCTCTGTGAAGGTGGTGGTGGCACTGGAGGC